GCGGGGAAAAGGTGGAACGGGAGCTGCGCCCCACGTTTGGGGACATTGGGGACAGCCCGGACGGTGATGCCCACCCCAAATCGCCGCCTGCCCCAGCTACCCACTGCGGACGGAGGGGCGCGGGGCTGAGCGGACGCAGGGCCCAGGGCACGGCCAAAGCGGCGGTCCCGAGCCACGGCCGTCCCTGCTCGTCCTGCTCACGCTGCCATGGGGCCGGATTGGCTTTCCGGCTAATTGAAGCCCAGCAAAGCCCCGGGCAGGCTGGGAATGACTCACACAGCAACCGGAGCAACACACGCAAACACACGCGTGCGCGCACGCGCACGCAGGCACACACACAGACACACAGACACGCGCGTGTGTGTGCATGCGCGCTTTATGAATGATTAATCCCAGCACCGATGAGCCACTGCTGTTCTGCCGCCGGCGAACAGTAGCGGGGTGGGGAGAGGGACCACGGCAAAAATCCAGGGTCCAACTTTCAAAAAGCAACAGCCCCGCGATGGGAAACCGCCTCAGATTTTTTTTTGGGGGGGGGAGGCACAGTCCTCCTGGCACCGCTTCGGGGAGCGGTGGAGGGGGGGGAGGTATTTGGGGTGCTCGGCTCCCCTCTCCTCCTTGCACCCCCTTTCCCCATCCCTGCTCGCTGGGGGTCCCTCCCTGCACCCAGGGGCACCCTTGGGTGCTGCGTGAAGGGGAGGGGGACTGTGCCACCACCCGCCCTGTGCTGATGTCCCTGCCCGCCCCGGGGGTCTCTGTCACCCCACTCCTCCTCCTTTTACATTTGGGGCTGAATTCCCCTTTTCCTCCCTCCTTCTGTCCCGGGCTGCCTTTCCCACCCCATGTTCCCCCACGCACTTATCTCCTTCCCTGGACACACACACACACACTGCACCCCTGGGGACCCCCGTGCACATCCCGTCCCCGAGGGAGGCGAGAGCAGGCAGGACGCTGGGGCCAGGCAACGCAGGCAGAGGCCACGGACAGGGATGGCGATGGTGGCCCTGGCACCGCGGCGGGGCAGGTTGGGGACCCGTG